CAGAGCAGTTAAAAGCCGCTGGTGAAAAGTTACCCCAACTTTGAGGTCAAGTTTCTCGATAATGAAAAAAGACATAAAACAACCATTAAATGTATGCACACTCAAGCTGAGTAGAATGAGCTACTTAATCCTAGAATTGTAGAGTGAGAAGGTATACAAAAAATTGTTTGGCTGTTGCCATGGAAACGGTGGGCCAGAAATTGTTTTTAGATTTTACAACCTAACTAGAGTGAAGGTGTGACTTGCCTGCCAAGTTTGAACCAAATCGGCCCAACCAAAAAAATCACAGAAGAGTCAAATTTCTCGGTAATAAAAAAAAGATATCAAAAATTCAACTTCATGCCCACACTCAAGCTGAGTAGAATGAGCTATGCCTGAGGGGTGTTATCCTAAATTTGTAGGAGGAGATACATTTGGCACGAAGCCATCTAAAAAAAACAATTTTTGGCTGTTAAAATTTTTTTTTCTTCAGATTTTACCTAATAACTAGGGTGATGGTGTGACCTGCCTGCCAAGTTTGAGGGAAATAGGCCAAGCCAAAAAAATCACAGAAGAATTAATACGTGAAAACAGGGAAATCACACACACAGACACACAAAATTGATTTTAAGGGCAATCCTAGTGGAGCGGATCGCCAATAGTGAACAAAAATGTTTGTAAATATTACTGACCGCAAAAGACGCTCATCGCGAAGTGACTTGTTAATATAATAATAAAAGAGAAGTGAACGTGCCTGCATTTCTTTCAAATATAACTGGCTTTGATTGTGTATAATGTAGTCAGTCACTCATCAATTAAAATATCATACTTATTTTACACAAATTACAAATTCTTTTTTCAATGGGAGTTTTTGGCTGTGTGTGCCTTCCTTTTTCAATAGCCAAACAATGGTTACTTGTTCGGAAGCGTGACATGCAGACTTGATGTTTTTTTCGGAAGACAATTTAAGTATGACTCAAAATTATAAGTGTTTTTGAATTTTGCATATGTTTTGCATGTGTTTTATTTGTAGTGTATTGTTGCACCGTTTGATGCAGTGTTGCTGCAATGTATGACTGCGGGGACATGTTGTGGTGTAGAACGCAGTGGCACTGCTATTTATGACACATACAATAATACTACTGAATGCATCAATGTGTTGCCCACTACTACTGTAGTTTAAAAAAAACAACGTATTTTCTATTTTAAAATATCTGCTGTAC